ATTTAGTATACTGTCTTTGGTGTAAGCCGCCCAGAGTCCTCAGAGAGTGGTCGGCATAGAAATACGAATAATAAATAAATAAATAAATAAATAAATAAATTATGTCGTATCCCTCCCCCTCTGTTGAGGGAGGGCTATTCAATATTGGCATAGATGCCCTCTTTAACTCCTCTTTCAAACCAGCGATCCTCTCTGTCCAAAATATGGACTTTGTTGTCTTCAAAAGAGTGGCCTGTGTCTTAAATGCAGATGGACTGCTGAATCTAATTCCTGATGGGTTTACTCTTCTATTTTGTCACTGGAGATTTTTAAGAACAGACATTTGTCCAGAATCGGTATAGACCAGGGGTCAGCAACCTGCGGCTCTGGAGCTGCATGTGGCTCATTTACCCCGCTGCGGTGGCTCCCTGTCACTCAAAATATGCGTCACAACCGCCAATGTGTGACACTCACTGGCACATGATTTATTAAGCTTTTCAACCCCTGGTAGGCCAATCATGAATAAATCCAAGAAAAGAAAAGTTTCAAAAGAAAACAGAACGTTTAATTCAACTACATATGCCAGTTTTGTGGCCGCTCAAGAAATAGTCAGGCACGGGAAGGGTTTTGTGGTTCCCGGTGTTTTATTTTCTGTGGGAAATGTGTCCAAATGGCTCTTTGAGTGTTAAAGGTTGCATATCCCTGGTATAGACTCTCCTGCTTGAGCAGAGGGTTGAACGAGAAGACCTCCAAGGTCCCTTCTAACTCAGTTATTGATTCTGAATGTTCCTCAGCTTTTCTGGACTATAGGCAATGCCTGGACTATCAGGCCAAAGTCATATTCAACTACCAGGTTCTGGGTGTTATGAGCTTGGTACTCCAGCCCACTTGGAAATCCCTACCTGGGAAAAAATCTCCAATAGAATTTGAGGTGGGGTGGGGGAACGACAAGAGCTACATTACCTTATTTGCTTCCACTGTGTCATAAAACGAATCCCAATAGAAGAAACAGGAGACAGCAATACAATAAATCATTCTTACTTTAAGATTCAGAGGTTTATTTCATGAGCAATTTGGAACAAGAACAGCCATCATAACACAACTTATATCGATAACCCATTGCAATGAGGTCCAGAAACGATAGCTAGGTTCAGCAAGGAATAGCTATGGCCAGTGGCCCTGAACTCATCCCAAAGATATTCTTTTTATACTTTTCTGCACGCATTTCACAACTTACTTCCTTATTCTGTCTTACTGACAGACAGCCTCCACGTATACCCGTGTACGTTTCAAACCTCTATCCATGGACTCCTTTCCGTTCCTGATTTCTCACAGTTTCGACGTCCTGATTCCAAATATGTTGCATAACTACGTGCTTTGCAAAATCCCATTTCACAGCCACAGCTCAGCAGGATTACGAATAGTTCTCTGATACACTTTGAAATCTTTCGATCTAAAGCTTTTTCGTGTAGCTTTTTAGGGCCTGCTATCCTTCTGAGACGGGTCTAGGACTTTTTGTCTCTGACTTTTCATTCTCCTCGGGCATTTCTCCTCGGGCGATTCTCCCCGACTTAACTCCTCAGCTGGGACGCCTCCAGTCATTTGCCGTGGGAAATGGGCCACCGGCCTCTTCGTCCCAGGCCCTTCGACATGGCCCATTTGCAGAAAGAGGGTTCGTCCTGGGTGCTCCACCCTCTGTGACAGTTAGCCCCCAACCAATTGGCTAGAGGGGGTGTAATAGAAATCCAGCCAAAGGGGAGAGGTGTAAAAGAATTTGCCAAAATGCCTGACTTCCTTTCTTCCTCTCACCCTCCCCCCAACACCAATACAGGGAGGAAAGTTGGTTTACTCAGAAGTAAGTCTCACTAAATTCAATGCTAGGATTTAAATCCAGCGAAAGGAGAGAGGTGTAAAAGAATTTGCCAAAATGCCTGACTTCCTTCCTTCCTCCCTCTCTCTCTCTCTTCCCCCCACCCAACCAATACAGGGACACTGTTACTGAGCGGGCTAAAAACCTTCCTCCATCCCTCCCTTCAACCAATTAGTTAACCAAGTCTGGAAGGGTCCAATAGAATAATTTTTTTTTCCTTCCTTCCTTCCTTCCTTCCTTCCTTCCTTCCTTCCTTCCTTCCTTCCTTCCTTCCTTCCTTCTTCCATCCATCCATCCATCCATCCATCCATCCATCCATCCATCCATCCAATTAATGTTGAGTACCAGAGGTATCACTGTATAAAGAAGGTGTGTATTCTGGTGATGTTCTCATAACAAGCCAAACTATGTCACTTATGAACCTAGAAAGTGCCTTCACACAATCTGCCAAAGTTGGTTAATTTGAATCTTGCTTGTTTATTTGTTTTTTCAGGCTATCGTGTATATATTACTAATGTCCAATATCCAGTACTAAACTGCCTGATTTTGAAATTGAAGTGTGTATATATGTGCGCTTACTTAAATAAGCAGAAATACAATATTTTCCTCAAACAGGGTTGGAGTCCTATATTTTCAAAAGCAAGAAAGGGACGTAGGAATTGAGTAACAAAGCCTCGATTAAAACACAAGAGGGCCCACTCAGAGCCATCTAAAAACACTTGGTTGACCTGAAGATATTGAAGCTTCAGATCTCCTGCTTGACTTAATTTGGAGGAAATGTTTGTGAGAGCTAACCCCGATACCTTCTGATCATGATTTCGATATCGGCCGTTCCTCTTGAATTAGAACCAGTGAACATTCCTAGGAGTGCCGCTTTGATCTTTGCAAAATTTCTCAGATCGTTTAAGAAGCAGGAGAAGGATGTTGTGTGAATGCAGCCCTTCACTCTCTGTTAGAAGCCCCAGCAAGTCCCCTTCCTTCCTTCCTTCCTTCCTTCCTTCCTTCCTTCCTTCCTTCCTTCCTTCCTTCCTTTCCTTCCTTCCTTCCTCCTCCCTCCCTCCCTCCTCCCTCCTTCCCTCTTCCATCCATCCATCCATCCATCCATCCATCCATCCATCCATCTATCCATCCATCTACACCACCATAACTACTCTGGTAGTCCAATAGGCTATTTGTCTGTTTTGCACAACTGTGTGTTGTGGTTGGCAGAATCAAACAGAGCTAGGTTGCCTGTTCCCTTTGCTTCTCTTGTAGTAGGAAAGCCAGTGAGTGCAAGATTTCCCCCCCCTCACCCCATCCAACCACTGCCAGTCTCTTCTTTATATTGCCTGTTCATCCCACCCTCTGCCCTGTTCTCATTTGACTGCAGCAGGGCCCAACACAGTAGGCATGGCATGTTCACCAGCTCCTCTTGTCTGGTTGCCCATAGAATTGAACATCCCCCTCCCCTTTCCCCCCTCCTAATTACCATAGGAGGGTCAGCAGGCTTGCTTGAGCAAAATTAACTAGAAACCGCTCCAGGGAAATGCATCTCTGATGAGAATTTCAAACTCCACGGGGGAATGAGAGTACAGCAGTGAGAGGAGAAATTCTTCCTTTAGACAGGAGATATTAATCTAATGGGAATGTGTCAAGTGTTTCCAAGTGGGATGAAGGCTCTGGATTAACCCCTGCAGGGCTGCTCTTAAATTGCAGCATGAATATTATCTGCTTCAGGAAGCATGCCAAGAAGTAGCTTTGTGGTCTGCTTGATGACAGGATAGCAGTGTTCCAATATTTGAGGGGCTGCCACAAAGAAGGGGTGGGGGGTGGGGGTGGAAATCCTCCTATTTTTCAAAGCACCAGAAGGAATGGATGGAAACCAATCAAGGAGAGATGCAACCTAGAATTAAAGGAGAAATGTCCTGGCGGTGAGAACAATTAAGCAACGGAATGTCTTGCCTTCAGAATTTATGGATGTTGTTCCACACTGAAGGCTTTTAAGAAGAGACTGAGCAGTCATTTGTCTGAAATGGTAAAAGATCTCCTGCTTGAGCAGGGAGACCTCCAAGGTGTGAAGAGAAGGACCAGGGGAGACACGATAGCAGTCTTCCAATATTTGAAGGGCTGCCACAGAGAGGAAAGGGTCAAGCTATTTTCCAAAGCACCTGAAAGCCAGACAAGGAATAACAGAAGGAAACTGAACAAGGAAGAGATTCAACCTGGAAATAAAGAGAAATCTCCATTTCCACCCTACTCCAGGGGAAGGATACTGCAAAATCCCCATTCCCTCCCCATTCCTGGGGGAAGGATATTGCAAAATCTCCATTCCCACCCTACTCTGGGACCAGCCAGAGGTGGTATTTACCGGTTCTCCAAACTGCTCAAAATTTCCGCTACCGGTTCTCCAGAACCTGTCAGAACCTGCTGGATTTCACCCCAGCTCTGCAGGCATCCCAAAGCCTCTGCATGTCCTGTTTTTGTGAAAAACGGACCTGTTTTTCGCAAAAACGGGATGTGCAGACAGTTTGGGAGGCCCGTAGAATGTCCCTGGGGGTTGGGCAGGGCAAAAACACTCCCGTTTGTGCAAAAAACAGGCCTGTTTCTGTCCTCCCAAACCCCCCACCCCACGTGTTGCGTTTTTGCCCTCCCCAGCCCCCAGGAGCACTCTTGCAGGTCTCCCAAGCCCTCTGTGCATCCCGTTTTTGTGAATTTTAGCAAGGGGTTCTCTGCCTGGTTGCTGGGTAGGTGTGGCCATGGTGGGCGTGGCCTAGTCAGCCTCCTGAACCATGGTGGGGGGCATTTTTAGCCTCCCCAGGCTCCGGAGACTTTAGTTGAGCCTCCGGGAGGTGAAAATGGCCTCCCCAGGCTCCAGAGGCCGTTTTTTTGCCTTCCCCGAGCCTTTGCGCGCACCCAGCACTTACCTGCATCTAAAATGGGCCGCGTGGGGACTCGTGGGGTGGGGTAGGCGGGGCCAGCCAGGAGTGGGATTTGGGGGTTCTCCAAACTGCACAGAATCTTAGCTAGAGGTTCTCCCGAACCCCTGCGAACCCCCAGCAGCCCACCCCTGATTTGCCCCATAACGGGGTGAATTTCCATTGGTTGTAACAACCGCAAAGCTCAAAAAAAAAAAAAAGCTCTAATTGAGTGATTTTCTCCATTCTGTTTCCAGGGATGACCGGACATGCAGAGGTGGTCCGTGTAGTGTTTGACCCACAGAAGATCAGCTATGAAAAGCTCCTCCGATTCTTCTGGGAGAACCACGATCCAACCCAAGGTAAAATCTAGGATCAGGAAAGGTGCAGTGTGGGAAGCCAATCTTTTGCATCTATTTACCTGGATTTATTATAAGCAGCATAAGCAATACTCTAGCACAGCGTTGCTCAACCTTGGCGGCTTGAAGATGTCTGGACTTCAACTCCCAGAATTTTCAAAGACATATTTTACATGGAACTACATAAGATAACCTTCCCCAATTCCCAGAATTCTGGGAGTTGAAGTCCACGCTTCTTCGAGTTGCCAAGGTTGAGAAACACTGCTCTAGCAAATCAAGAGGAATCATGTTTGCAAGTAATCCTAAAGCAGCTTTGTTGGTACGGTACACTGCAGCCTCTTGGACTACAGCCAGAGGTGGGATTCAGCCGGTTCAGGCAAACTGGTAGTGGTGACTGCGGGAGACTCTGCCCACCCGCCCAGACATAATGTGCGAGCAAAGAGCATGCACGGAAGGTCGTGCGTGTGCTCAGACGAGGTGCGTCGTGAGCGAGACGAAGCGAGCGCACTTGCGCATGTTTGGGAACCAGTAGGGAAGATAAGTGAATCCCACTTCCAACTACAGCCCTATTATTCTTCAACCACCATGGCCAATTATGGAAGACTGCAATTTATAGAAGCTTGGATTATCAACAGCCATGGTGGCTGGGAGGAAAGAGAATTGTAGACCGGTTTATAGGAAACAAGACTGAGCTGATCTTATAAGAATCTTAAGTCATCAATCGTTACTCTAACAATGCACTGGAGAAGGAAAAACATAATTTAGTATGTGATGACTCTATGTATCTGTTTGCACACAATGGTACACTCTTGCCATCTTTTCATATTTGAGTCTCAACTTTCTTGTGTTTTTTTAACCTGTTGATGGGGTTTTGCCTTTCTTAGTTCTGATTTTATAATTAATAGGATCCTAATATTATATTTTTAGATGCTTAAGGATTGATAAACATTGCTATACCCGGACCAATCAAAGGTTTGTTTAATTTAAGCTTGGGCAATTTATGGGTCTAAGTCCACATTCCGAAAAGAATTCTCTTGTGGTAGAGTCCCCGCCAACATCACCAGTAAGTTTTCAGTTGCTGAAAATCAGTGTCATGACTTCCTGCCATTTTGAAAAGGCAGACATGTGAAACTCCAAAATATTGAACTGCCATTGTAAAAAAAACCAGCTTCAATCCTAATAATTAAGACTATCCTCCTGATCAGGGGTCAGCCACTTTAAACACTCAAAGAGCCATTTGGACCTGTTTCCCACAGAAAAGAAAACACCAGGAGCCACAAAACCCTTCCTGTGCCTGACTATTTCTTCAGCGGCCACAAAACTAGCATATGTAGTTGAATTAAATATTCTGTTTTCTTCTGAAACTTTTCTTGGATTTATCCATGGTTGGCCTATCGGGAGTTGAAAAGCTCAGTAAATTGTGTACCGGCGGGTGTCGCACATTGGCGGTTGCGGTGCATATTTTGAGTGATGGAGCTGCAGCAGAGGGATGAAAGAGCCACATGCAGCTCCAGAGTCGCAGGTTGCTGACCCCTGCTCCTGATAAAAAGGGATTTCTTGTTCTACCTGAGTGCGGAGTATGCTAAATTGAGCTAGAAGGGCTAAGATTGCTTGCCTCTGGTTAACCTGAAAATCTGTAATGCAGCAGACACACAGTTCTACAGAGATGCCGTACCTGAATCGAAAGCTCCTTGGAGTATTTTGAATACAGGTAATCCTCACTTAAAGGTTCTACTTACCTTTACTACCGGTTTGCAGCGGGGCCGTGCGCGCGCTCTTCTGTGCATGCGCAAAACAGGGGTGGGTTCTAACAATTTTTACTACTGGTTCTGTGGGCGTGGCTTATTTTGTGGGTGTGGCTTGTTGGTCATGTGACAATTCTTTAGGATTTAGCAGAGGTACTGGTCTAGCAGGCTTTTAACTGCTTGCAGAGCTGTACCGGTCTACCCATTTATTTTTGCAGGCACTGGTCTACTCATTATTTTTGCAGGCACTGGTCTACCTATTTATTTTTGCAGGCACCGGTCTACTCATGTATTTTTGCAGGCACTGGTCTACTCATTTGTTTTTGGAGGCACCGGTCTACCACCAAACTGCCTTTTACCACTGATCAGCTGTAGGGCGGCCTTTTGAAGCCCCACGGCAAGAGTTTAAACAGTTTTTCCTTATAACCCATCAGCTGGGACTCAGGAGGCAGCAATAGATTGGGGGTGGGGCCAAATAAAAGGTAAGAATAATGCGGGGGTGGGTGGGTGGGGGCGGGGGGGGGCAGAACCAGTTCGGTGATGTCATTTCATCACTGCTACCAGCTCAGCAGAACCGGGAGGAACCCACCACTGGCGCAAAAGCGTTTTGATGATGTTGGGGTCGGTGGGCAGAGCCTACCGCCGGTTTTACTACCAGTTCTCTAGAACCGGTACGAACCGGGGGCAACTCACCACTGCCGTGCGCCTTTGGTGGCATTTAATCATGCCAGCCACATGACCACGGAGACGTCTTCGGACAGCGCTGGCTCTTCGGCTTTGAAACGGAGATGAGCACCGCTCCCTAGAGTCGGGAACGACTAGCACATATGTGCGAGGGGAACCTTTACCTTTAACCTTCTTCATACCATTTTTTTTTCCATTTATTTGCTGAGTCATTTGATGGTTCCAGCCAAAGAATACCTCATTTCTCCAGCCTGACTCACTCCCGGACTCCTGAGGCACAGGGTTTTTCTCTTCAGGAATCACACGTTCCTCTTGATTTTGCAAGCCAACCTCATTTTTCAGGCTACTGTATCTCTTTAAACGACTCCTTTAAATGGCTTCTCCCGCCTTTCCCACCAAGGCCACAAAAGGTGAAGAAGCTCTTAGTGGAACCTCTGCTGAGACAGGAGAAATTCAGTTGTAAAGAAGGGAGGGGGACTGGGGATTTCTAATGTTTCTCTCCCCCCCTTTTTTTTTAATAACCAGAGGAAGTGGAGGGGTGGAAGGCTGTTTGTAACCCACCTCACGTCAACACTGAGCAACAGTGGGGGGAGGGAGGCTTGAAGGCCTTAGGAAGACCGAGCATTTTTGTAATGAAGTGTAATTTTAATGAGGAAATTAGCATTCTCTGTGTGTTGCCGGCTGGGCCCTCCTCTGGGTGTGTAATGGTGTGTTTGTGTTTTAATGAGTAACATTGCCAGTGTGGATGGCAGTATTAGGGAGTGAGCACGTGGGAGGGTGGGGGGAGAGAAGAAGTCTGCCCTTCCCCCTCCCCCACAGTCCTTGTGTGCTAGATTTCAAAAGGTGATATGCCTTATAGCTGAGGAACATCGCTGACTGCTCTACTTCAATGACATCGTCGGCAACAAAAGAAAGAGATAGCATTTTCCTTGAAGTCAAGCTTGACCTCTGGTGACTTAACACGGCCACATCCGGGCAATTTTTTTTCTCGCAATAACAAGGAAACGGGCCCCCGCAGCCTTCTCCTGAGCTCTTTGTTTTACATTGGGACTCCGTGGTCCAGTGGCACCCAACTTTTTGGGCACCAGGGATTGGTCCCATCGAGAAAAGTTTTTCCACGGACCGGAGGGATGCATGGTTTTGTGTTCTGCCTGCATCCCGCGGATGGGGCTTCGCTTGTTTGCATGGACCGGGTGTCGGCATGCTGCGGGCGAGTGCCAGTCCACGGACCGGGGATTAGGGACTGGTGGTCTAGCCTACGATTCTGGGACTTCGTATTGTTCTCCCATTTGTGATGCTCTCTCATTCATATTCAACCTTGTGTAGCTTTTTAAGGTCCAAAGTTGGGTAACCTTAACTCATACGAGTGGGGCAATTGAGCTCATTTCAAAGGGCCTTTATAGAATCTAGAATCATAAGGCTGCAAGAGACCTTGGAGGTCTTCTAGTCCAACCTCCCCGTTCAAGGCAGGAAGTTACACCATCCCACTCAAATGGGATATTTTTGCAAACCTCCACCTCCACTCCTAAGAGGCAAGCTATTCTACTGGTTAATTGTTCTCGCTGTCAGAAAATTTCTCCTTACTTCTAGGTTGGATCTTTTTTTAACAAGCTTCCACCAATTATTTCTTGTTCTGCCCTCTGGTACTTTGGAGAATAAGTCACTCCCTTCTTCTCTGTGACAACCCCTCAAGTATTGGAAGACAGTTATGTCCCCCACCTCCCCAGTCTTTCTTTTCGATAGTCTAGACCAGGAGTGTCAAACTCAATTTCATTGAGAGCCGCATCAGGGCTGTTTTTGACCTTGGCGGGGCTGGGATGGGCATGGCCAGGGTGAGCGTGGCCAGCTCGACGTCACTCGTGTTGGGGGTGCCTGTGATGGCCTGAGTGCACTGCCAGCGAAAACGGGCTCCCAAGCTCTGTTTTCAGCTGCAACAGCCTCCTGCAACCCTCTGCCAGTGAAAACTGAGCTCCGGAGGGCCGTCCGTGGCCCTCGCAAGTTTCATTTTGGCTGGCAGAGGCACCGTGGGCCGGTCCTTTGCTGTTTCCAGGCAGCCCTAAGGGCCAGATCTAAGGATCCTGCAGACCAGATCTGGCCCCTGGGCCTTGAGTTCGACACCCCTGGTCTAGACATCTGTTCATCATACAATTCAGCCTACAGACCCTTTATCGTTTTTGTTGCTCTTCTCTGCACGCTTTCCAAGATCTCAATATCTTTTTTGTATTGTGGTGACCAGAACTGGATGTGTTATTGCAAGTGTGGTCTTACCAGGGCGGTGTAAAGTGATCCCATCACTTCTCATGATCTTGATGTTATCCTGCAGACCAGGATTGCATTGGGTTTTTTTTGGCATCTGCAGTACATTGCTGGCTCATACTGAAGTGGTGGTCCACCTGGACATTTAGATTTCTCTCTCAGTTGCTACCGTTGAAGCAGTAGGTTCTTCAGTAACAATGTTAACTTGTGTTTGATATTTTTCCTAGGCCTACCCTTCCTCCAGGGGGGGCGGCATGTCAGGATTGAATCGCTTTCCTTCTTCTGAGCTTCTGTCGCTTTTCAGCTTACCATTCAAGTGGGGGGGGGAATTGAATGCTCAGCTTTCATCTACAAACTGGGAGAGCCAAACCTCGCCAAGGTCACTACTGCAGATGTTATACGGAGACATGGACTGTTCCCAAAGCAAAAGGGAGTTTTATAACTGGAGATTATGAATAGCCAGGGGTGGGGAGAAAGGGAATCTAGTCCTTAACTAAGTGAGTGTTGGTGTGGGAAAACCAGAGTTGGTTTTGCTTCTGCAGTTCCGAGATGGTGTGTCCAATAAAGTTATACTTTTGGGTCAAAGCTCCCAAGAGTGTTTACTTCTTTTGGGTCCACTAGTCGGACCATTTTTAAAAAAAAATTGATTTATATGCCGCCCTTCTCCGGAGACTCAGGGCGGCTTACAATTAAGCAATAGCCTTCAACTTTTGTATATTTATACAAAGTCAGTTATTGCCCCACAAACTGGGTCCTCAATTTACCTACCTTAGAAAGGATGGAAGGCTGAGTGACAATGAGCCTTGAGAGATTCGAACCACAGTAATTGCAGGCAGCTGTGTTAATAACAGGGTGCTTAGACCACTGTACTATCAAGGCTCTTCTTATGGACCATTGACAGGTACCACTTATTTGTCCCTGTGTTTTCAGTTTTTCCTGCCTAAGTTCAGGACCTTACTTTTCTTACCACTGAACTGCATATTATAATCCCCCCCTTTTTTAATTTGATTTATATGCCGCCCTTCTCCGGAGACTCAGAGGCTTACAATGCGTTAAGCATAGCCTTCATACTTTTGTATATTTATACAAAGTCAGCTTATTGCCCCCACAAACTGTGTCCTCATTTCACCTACCTTAGAAAGGATGGAAGGCTGAGTCAACCTTGAGCCTTGGAGAGATTCGAACCAGCAGAAATTGCAGGCAGCTGTGTTAATTACAGGGTGCACTAAACCACTGTACTATCAAGGCTCTTGATGGCGAACCTATGGCACGCATGCTAGAGGTGGCACGCAGAGCTCTCTCTGTGGGCACATGCGCCATTGACAGCTGCTCTTCTGGTTTCCACATGTGCGTTGGCCAGCTGGTCTTTGGGGGCATCGGAGTACTTGAAAATGGCCCAGAAACCGATCTGAAAGCGGCCTGAGAAATGACCTGAAAACAGCCTGAAAATGGCCAAAAAACAAGCATGCATGCGCTGACCAGCTGGTCTTGTGGTTTCCGGTGCTCCAGCGCATGCACATGTACGCACATTCTGGTTTGTGCACTCAGTGCCGAAAAGGTTCGCCATCAGTGTTATAAGCCCTGAGTGATGACCACTGACAGGAGACTCTGTCCCTTCCCTGGCATCCAGCTTCTTCAGAAGGAAAAAGAGAAAGCCCTCGTCTCACCCACTTAAGAGCCGCGGTGGCACAGTGGTTAGAGTGCAGTACTGTAGGCTACTTCTGCTGATCACCGGCTGCCAGCAGTTTGGCAGATCGAATCTCACCAGGCTTAAGGTTGACTCAGCCTTCCATCCTTCCAAGATGGGTAAAATGAGGACCCAGATTGTTGGGGGCAAGAGGCTGACTCTGTAAACCGTTTAGAGAGGGCTGTAAAAGCTCTGTGAAGCAGTATATAAATCTAAGTGCTATTGCTATTTTCCTTCCTTCCTTCCTTCCTTCCTTCCTTCCTTCCTTCCTTCCTTCCTTCCTTCCTTCCTTCCTTCCTTCCTTCCTTCCTTCCTTCCTTCCCTCCCAGTGGTTAGAATGCAGTATTGCAAGCTAACTCTGCTGATTGCCAGCAGTTCGATCCTGACCAACTCAAGGTTGACTTACCCTTCCATCCTTCCGAGGTGGGTAAAATGAGGACCCAGATTGTTGGGGGCAAAATGCTGACTCTGTAAACCGCTTAGAGAGGGATGTAAATCACTGTGAAGCGGTATATAAGTCTAAGTGCTATTGCTATTGCTTATGGCTGCCCACTTCTGTAGCTATACTATTGTCAGGCAGTCCCGTCCTTCTTACTAAGAGCTCCTCTTCAGGCAGGCTTTTCCCATCACTGCCCTCAAATCAGGATTAAGATTTAAGGCTCTTCCACTGATAGTAAAGGGCTCTTTGGTTGCATTGTTCTGAGGATGGACCATCTGGGCTTATGCGTGAATGATGTTGGCAGTTATAATATTACTTCTTCTATTGCATTAGTGTGATTCATATTTTACATGTAAGTCCTTGACTTGCCACCACAATTGAGTCTAACATTTCCATTGCTAAGTGGAAGAGACAGTTGTTAAGTGAGTTTTACCCCATTTTAACGACCTTTCTTGCCACAGTTGTTAAGTGAAGCGCTGCAGTTGTTAAATTAGTCACAGGGTTGTTTAGTGAATCTGGCTCCGTCATTAACTTTTGTTATCAAGAAGGTCGCAAAAGGGAGGATCTCATGACCTCGGGACACTACAACAGTCATAAATATGAGTCAGTTGCCAAGCATCTGAATTTTGATCACCTGACCACGTGTGATCAAAAGGTGTCAGTGTGAAAAACGGTCATAAGTCACCTTTTCTCAGTGCCGTTGTAACTTTGAATGGTCCCTAAATGAATGTTATTAAGTTGAGGACTACCTGTATTTTATATTTGGTCTTGAAGGAAAAGCTTTTGCATGTTATTGTAAGGTACAGATTCCTTGTGAGACGTTCACCTTTTGCAGCGAACAAACCAGTGACGTCTGGTGGTATTTTATTATCGGGGAACATTTTCTGGATCAGGGTTCAGCAAATTCAAGAGTTTATTGATCCAGAATGTTTTCTTCTGCAAATGTCGTAGGATATCTTTGGTCTTCCATATTTAATTCATGGGCAAAACTTGGAATTTTTGCTGAAGTCATACTTATCTAGCAGGTATACGAACTATGTATGTTGCCACTTTGGAAATTGCCATTCTGAGTTTAATGGACATGGATATTTTCCCGGGAAAGAAATATTGGCTATGGAGACCAAAATCAAAATTAGACGATCTTTGAAATCCTAGTCCCTAAATTGTTTCCTGATTGCTTATTTGTACCCTATGACTATCATTAAGTGTTGTACTTTATGATTCTTGATGAACGCATCTTTTCTTTTATATACGCTCGGAGAGCGTATGCACCAAGACAAATTCCACGTGTGTCCAATCACACTTGGCCAATAAAAAATTCTATTCTATTCTATTCTATTCTATTCTATTCTATTCTATTCTATTCTATTCTATTCTATTCTATTCTATTCTATTCTATTCTATTCTATTCTATCTTTTTGGGAGGAACCTCAGAATAAACAAAAAAAAAGTTATTTTCTATGGAGTCAGACCACTAATCTAATTTAGCAGTACATTTTCTGTCTGTTTCCATTAATGACATGGATAAAATGGAAATACTCAAGGACAATACTTTTTCCCCTGCGACTGTTTATTACTAAGGTTGAAGTGGGATGAAGAAGATTCAGCAATATGAATCAGTTTGGTCATCTTCTGTCTGATAACGTGCATTGTTGTGGTCTCGTTTCCCCCCTTCCAGGAATGAAGCAGTACGAAGACTTTGGCACACAGTATCGTTCGGCCATCTATACTATCGGAGCAGAACAACTGGAATCTGCTTTAAGATCCAAGGCAATGTATGACAGGTATAGGAGAATTATGGATAGATGTGGGACAGGAGATTGAGGTCTTGGACCATGGTGCTGCTATTTATATGATTAAGGTTGGCTTTTATTGGCATTAACTTCGTAAGGCATAGGTTCCTAGCTATAAATTCCCATCTAAAGGTAAAGGTTTCTGGTTATGTCTGACTTTAGGAGGTGGTGCTCATCTCTATTTCTTAGCCAAGGGAGCCAGTGTTGTCCAAAGACACTTCCATGGTCATGTGGCCAGCATGACTATACACCAAGGTGCATGGAACACTGTTACCTTCCCACCAAAGTGGTACCTATTTATCTACTCGCATTGGTATGCTTTCAAAATGCTAGGTGGGAAGGAGCTGAGGCAAGTAATGGAAACTCACTCCATCACACAGGTTTGAGTCTCAAACCCAGGCGGTCAACTTTCTAACTGATAAACTCAGCATCTTTAACCGCTTAGCCACCGCGCCCCCTGGCTTCCCATGTAATCTCTTAATTGAAGATGTCACAATTGAAAACTGGGACTTCCTTCATGGGAAATGTGTGCTCCACAACTGGGTTGTAGTTCTGTTAGGATGGCTTAATTACATTCCTAAACCTGGAGTTCATTCATAAGATTAATTGTTAGAGTTAGGAGCTAAACTATATAGTTACGATGACTATCTATCCCAACCCACAGCTAGCCCAGTTAGCAGCTTTCTGCAGAAAATAACTGCGTGGACTGGGGATGCATGATCACAGCTGTTCCAAGCAAGTGGAAAATCTTCGTTAGGATCTCAGCTGCCACAGTATTTTAAGTGCCAGGGTTAAGATTTACAATGATTCAACTGTCACCAGCAATGCAAAGTCTCCTTCACCCACCTTACTTCTCCAATGTTCAGTCCCCCCATGCGGCCAGAGGGGTAGGGTTAAAAAGTAATAGTAGAGGCAGGATTCCTAGAAAAGCCCCATTTTTGCAGGATGGCTCTGTATCTACATTTCTTTGCCAGTAGAAAGAAGTTAACTCTCTCTCTACCATATTTGCCCAACATGGTTGACCAGGGAAGAATAGTTTAATTTAAAATATTAATTTAACCCCCTCTTCCAGGGGTTCCACTGAACCCCTCAAGCCCACAGTTAAGTAGGTTATGGGTTTGCATGATATACCAATCCTGCTCATGTCCCAGTTAAATACAAGTATAACTAGTTTTCCCCCCGAAATACAAAAATTTATTTTTAATCAGTTTGTTTCTCTGTATGTCTGTGTTTGAGTCAATATTTACTCAAGTCTGTGCAATTTTCTTAGTGATGTTTCTTAGAAATATCCACCCTAATGAGGGACTGGTTCAAAGCAGGGGTGAAATCCAGCAGGTTCTGACAGGTTCTGGAGAACCGGGTAGCGGAAATTTTGAGCAGTTCGGAGAATCGGCAAATACCACCTCTGGCTGGCCCCAGAGTGGGGTGGGAATGGAGTTTTTGCAATATCCTTCCCCCAGGAGTGGAGAGGGAATGGGGATTTTGCAATATCCTTCCCCTGGTGTGGGGTGGAAATGGAGATTTTGCAGTATCCTTCCCCTGCCACGCCCACAAGCCACACCACGTCTACAAGCCACACCCACAGAACCGGTAGTAAAAAAATTTGGATTTCACCACTGGTTCAAAGCCATCCTAAGGGAGGACTTGATGCCTAAGGGAGGACTAGAATTCACAGACTCCTAGTTTCACAGCCTTTAACCCAGGCACCAAACTGGTTCACCGCTGAATTGTTTGGATGTGAAGAAGATTTTATAAGAGCGAAGTCAAAACCCCTTTCTTCTCCATTTCCCATGGGATTTGAATTCAAAGCTCTGGAGTCTTGTTAGAGGAGGACAATACTTCAGATATTTTCGCTAACATGTTGCCTCTTAATAATCTCTTTTTAAGGCTAAACATATCTTAATGCCTTCAGCTTTTTCTTGTTAGGGGCTCATTAACCAACAGAGGTTTGAAGTGGCAATCTAATTATGCCAGGAAGGTATTGTTCTTTGCACACCATGTTTTCAGACAAGCTTTATTTTTACAGGAGCTGCTACTTATGCTTAAAAGAAAATAGCACAGCTCTTAATCTCTAATGCCCTAAAGTGCTCTGGACTCTCGGCCAATCTTGTCTGCCAAGCTGTCTAGGATTGTAGTTCTCCTAATACGCAGATGCTGGTTCAGCAATTATATATATATGTACGGGGTCAGGTTCTATAGGCCAAGCAAAATACAAACAGTTCTTGTCTTACAATTATTCATTTAGAGCAGGGGTGTCAAATACAATCTGGCCCGCGATGTGGTTGGATCCAGTCTGCGGGGCTATCCTGGAAAATGTAAGGGGCTGGCCCGAATTGCTTTGACCCAGTCTACCTGTGTTGCTTTGGCCCGGTCTACCCAGTGCAAAGAGGAAACATGCCAGCAGTTTGGGGAATGGCATCAAGTTGGTCATGCCCACCCAGTCAGCCACACCCAGTGAGTGGCGTCAAGCTGACCACGCCCACCTAGTTGGCCACCCCCACCCACCCCCGAGGTCAACCACAGCCCTGAGGCGGCCCTCAATGTAATTGAATTTGAAACCCCTGATTTAGAGACTTAGAACTATCACAGCATACCCACTGTCACATAACCAAAATTCAGACATTTGGTAACCAATATATATTGGTGGCTGTGGTGGCGCAGTGGTTAGAATGCGGTATTGCAGGCTAACTCTACCGGCTGCCAGGAGTTTGATTGTGACCGGCTCCAGGTTGACTCAGCCTTCCATCCTTCTGAGGTCGGTAAAATGAGGACCCAGATTGTTGGGGGCAATATGCTGACTTTGTAAACCGCTTAGCGAGGGCTGTCAAGCACTGCGAAGCGGTATATAAGTCTAAGCGCTATGACTATTGCTGAATATTTACAAGGGGTTGCAGTATCCAGGTGTCATGTGGTTGCCATTTATGATTTTTCCTAGCTAGCTTCTGACAAGCAAAGTCAATGGGAGAAGCTGGATTCATTTAATGATTGTGTGAGTCACTTAACCACGGCAAAATCAGGCATGACTTACTTTACAACTGTCTTGCTTAGCAATGGAGATTCTCTCCCAGTTATGGTCATAACATGAGGACTACCTGTATTTACTTGAGGGTTCTGAAGAACATCTACCTGCCCCAACATGCTCCTACAGGGAGGACATGCTCCAGGTTCCTTATGGGTGCCAGCACACGTGCACGCTTTCGGCACAGAAAGAGAAAAAGGTTAGCCAACACTGGTCTATTCCATGGAATATGCAAATACCAGGCCTATGGAAACCCACTGGCAGAATAAATTAGAGTAGTGGACACTAGTTCTCTAAGGGAAGTGGTGGGATTCAGCCGGTTCGCACCACTTTGGGAGAACCGATTGTTAACTTTCTGAGCAGTTTGGCAAACTGGTTGTTGGAAGAAATCATTAGGGCAGAGAACCGGTTGTTAAATTACTTGAATCCTGCCACTGTCTAGGGGGTGAGGCCAACTTCTTGGAAGCTTCTAATCATGATGTCTTTCTACATTCTAACTTTGAATCGTCACTAAATGAACTGTTGTAAGTCGAGGACTACCTGTATAGAGAAGATGATTGTTTATCTATTCCAAATTCATCTCGTGTCATTTAAATCTCTCTCTCTCTCTCTCTCTCTCTCTCTCTATCTATCTATCTATCTCTCTCTCTCTCTCTCTATCTATCTATCTATCTATATAAATAAATTTTGATTTATATGCCACCCTTCTCCGAAGACTCAGAGGTGGTGACAATTTCTAAAGCCTTCCGGCTGGGAGTTGTATAAATCTGCCATTTTCTATGTTACGCTGACAGATGTTTAGGTGGATCCAGTACAGCTGTTTTTCCACAATTATATACAGAATGTTCTCTTGTCATAAGATGTCTGCTGGTTTCCATTCCTGGCAACCCGACCCCTTTCAGCAACTTCTTGGAAAAATTGTGGGCCTTTCAATCCCTCTTCCCCCCCACCCCATCTTGTGGCTTGACATTGTGTTCTTTTTTTTTTTTTTTACACAATGTGGTTCTTTTATGGGTACAATCTGTTTTGGAAACATGTTTAGAGAGACCCTTGAGGTATCACTTAAATAAGCAGTCGCCAGGAAGATGCTGCGTCTTTCCAGCATTGGATTCACGATGGAGCTGGTAGGGATCTGTTTTTCTTTCTCTCTCATGCACACACACACACTCTCTCCTTCTCGCTCTCTCTATCCCTCTCATCTCTCTCTCTCTCTCTCTCTCTCTCTCTCTCTCTCTCTCTCTCTCTCTCTCTCTCTGTCACACACACACACACACACACACACACACACGTGTACAGGCACCCTCAGGGACTCTGAAGAGGCTGTTTTTTGTTTCGGTCCCCTCCAGTGAATAGAACCTGCCCCCAACGCCTTACCCCATAACAAAGGCAGAGAAGCGAATATAGATAATTGCTCCTCCAAGGCCATTCATGCACTCTGGATGGAGAGAGAAAAAAAAAAAGAGGGGGGGGAAGGGAGACATGTCTCAGTTTCCCTGGCAACTTGCCATGATGGTGATTGGCAGCTAGAGAGCAAAGGTCACAGGAGAGGCAGGTGCAATATCTCCTCTCCGCCTGGGCCCATTTGGAAATGATTCATTGCCATAAGCAGTTGCCCCCTCCTCCAAGCAGGACAATTAAGGGCAAACCCCAGCTTAAAATTGGCACGTGCTGGCTGGACATCAGTGTGTGTGGGGGGGGGGGGGGGACGGGGGGCGGGGAGAGGAGGGTATTTCTTGGGAGCTGGCAGTCTGTGGGCGGGGAGTGTGTGTTGTGTATTTCCAAGCGGCTAATGAGGTTGAGATCAAGGGAAGTGGGGCAGTTTTGGAAGGGTCTCCTCCTTCCTGGTGAGGGTAGGTGAGGGCAGAGTCATTCCAAAGATGCCAACATTGCTGGGTTTTTATGATGGGGAGGGGAGGGTGGGGTTGGGGAGGGGAGGGGAGGGCTAGCAGAACAGCCTTCCCCCTCCTCC